AGCCAGTAGGCGGGGCGGAGGGGAGACCTCGCCGGGAAAGGTAGAGCAGCGTTTGTGCGTGCCCTGCAGTTGGGGTGAGGCCTGGGCTTTCACCAGCTCCCCCAAGAGCTGAGAGTTAGTGCGGGTCTCTTTCTCAAGAGGCGTCTTCCCCTTCTCCGCCAGGCAGCTGCTTGGAGCTGTTTCCTGTGGCTGCCTGTGATCCTGGGCTTGGCCCTGAGCTCGAGTCACTTAAAATAGCGCCGCTGCTCTTCTGTGGGGGTGAAGCGGATTTAGCGGAAGGTACAGACGGGGTCTTCTCCCAGACAGTGCCACTTGTTGAAGTTCGCTCAGAAGGAGCCCTCCTAAGGTCGGGATGCTCTTAGCTCCTGTGGGAGCTGATGTTCTGAGCTAGTTCTGGAGACTTTGCCTCTAGATGCAACTCAGTAAGGTCAGGTGAGTCCTGTCCCCAGACCCCAGTAGCCTAGGGAAGCGCTAGACTTGGCGCCTAGAATTTCCTGTCAAAACTTAGGTGAGAGGCCGGGGTACGCCTGTAATCCCAGCACTCCCAGCACTCGGGAGGCTGAGGCAGGAGGATCGCTGTGAGTGCGAGACCAGCCTGGGCTACATAGTGAGTTCCAGGTCAGTCTCAACTACATAGGGAGACCCTGTCTCAAAAAACCGACACCAAAAACAAACAAAGACAACTTAGGTGAGAGGCCGGGGTACGCCCGTAATCCCAGCACTCCCAGCACTCGGGAGGCGGAGGCAGGAGGATCGCTGTGAGTGCGAGACCAGCCTGGGCTACATAGTGAGTTCCAGGTCAGTCTCAACTACATAGTGAGACCCTGTCTCAAAAAACCGAAACCAAAAACAAACAAAAACAACTTAGGTGAGAGGTGGCCACAGCTTTCTAGTGGGACCATGTGGGAGCAGTCGCGCATCTGTATGCTTGACAGGTTGTTCACTCAGATAAGGCTAAGGGTGAACTTCAGTTACGATTGCAGTCGCCGCTGGCTCTGTCATCTCTCTCTTGTGCTTAGATCATGAGACTCCATCTGTAACTGTCAGAGGCAGCCCCGGGAGACCCACCCTGGAACAGCCCTCTCTGGAGCACACCATACTGACTGGAAGTGTTGTGTGTTGGCTGCTCTCTTGTATTTTAGTTTTTCTTTCTTTCTTTCTTTATTTTTGATTTTGAGATAGGCCAGGCTGGCCTTGAACTCTAGGCAATCCTCCTGCCTCAGCCTCCCCAGTGCTGCAATTCCAAGTGTGCGCCATTGCACCTGGCCCCTTGTGTTTTTAGTAGCCTGGCCCTTGTGGTTCAGCTGATTGGAAGCAGCACCCCTGAGCGGGCTCCTCAGTGGCAGAACTTGGCCCAGTGTGGCCCCCAAAATGGATTTGAGAATTCACAGAAGGAGTGAAAATACATTGTTAACTCCAAGCTGCAGCGACGTGGAGTGTCCACTCTCCTGGCGTGGCACTGAGTTTAATGCATACACGCTGCAGACTTGCATCGCAGCCATATAGGGAACTAGGGAATGACCCGTGGGTGTTTGTCAGTGAGTTCCAGGAGCACTGGGGTCCATACGATGCTGTTCATTTGTGATAGTTACTGCTGTGAGTGTTGGGATTGTATCAGTTGGGATTCCTCTGGTCATTGTCCTCCTGTACATTGAGCTGTTATCCCACCCTGCTGTCTCCCCAGGTGCGGGGGATCTGAGGAGTTGGGAATTTTGTGCTGTAAGAGCTGACATAAATATGGGCTGGAGAGCTGGGTCGTCAGAGAATGTCCTGGCTGGGGAGGCACAGGCTCGGGCTGTGCACTTGAGTGTCACCCCGTTGTGCAGGTGGGGAGGCTGAGGCGCTGTCCGAGCCGCTGTCCTCCCTGTGTCCTCGTGCACTCACACCAGTGTTGTCCTGGTGTTTTCTGCCCTCTGCCCACTGCCCCACACCCTGCCGTCGCTGGGGCCCATTGCTGCACTAAAGAGGTTATTGTAGCTCTAAGGAAATGGATCGCTGTTCTGCCCTTGCCTTGTTTGTTCTGTGCAAGGTGGGCTCACCGTGGTGGTCTTTAGCATCTCCCGCTCAGGCCTGGGAGGTGACAAACAACCCTTCAGCGAACAGGACATTGAAGATGCCCAGAAGATGCACCTGTGGCGGTGGTGGTTTCTGTGATGTAAATGCTGGAATGGCGCCATCCTTGCTGGTGTGGCTGAAATGTCCTGGGTCCCCTGAAGTCTCGGGTCCTGCCCGCTCCGTGTAACAGTGCACCGGGTCTGAGCAGAGAAGGCCTGGCTCCTCTGGGAGGACACAGGGTGGACGTGAGGTCATCTTAACTGGGGTGTGTGCACAGATGCAGAGGCGATGAGAGGGGTTGTGCGTAGGGCGTGGCACGCGCCTCCGTCTTCTCCCTGGGGTGCTGCTCTCATGGTGTAGGGTGCAGAGTTTTGGAAATCAGGATGAGGATTGTTCTGGGAAATTATGTTTCCTTGACTGTATTCGTTTTGTTTTTGAGGCAGGGTCTTGCTATGTAGTTCATGCTGGCCTCGAAAAACTCATGGTGGGATCTTCCTGCCTCAGCCTCCCGAGTGCTGGGATTATAGGCACATGCCACCACGTCTAGCTCTTTGACTCTATTCTGAACTTGATGTGTCAACTAGAATTGTCTGCAAAATCTAGAGCTCCAAACTGGCACGTCCTGTATTTCTGGAGCAGAGCCATGGCCACTCTTGAGAAAAGTTGAAGGCTCCCCACCCTGCAGTCATTGCTAGCAGCACAGCCACCTGCTAGCTGAGTTCCACCTCTTGTGTCCCTCCCTCGGCTGTGCCGTTTGCTGACCCTGGAAGTCTCCGTGACTTTTTCTCAAATGGAAGGTTCTAGTTAGTCTTTCAGTGCCAGTGTTGAGAGCGGATACCTGCTTCCGTTTCCCTCTTTCCCAGTTAGTGGTGTGTGCTGGGTATTCTGAACCTAGGTGGGAGCAGAGGAGCTGGTGAGCAAACTTCTACTGGGGCCGTGCACCACCACCTGGCGTGTGCGGGGCTGGAGGACTGTGGTGGGCGTCCCGGGACGGCCAAGTGGGTGGTGGGAGGTGCCCCGAGAGCAGCCTCCCTGCTCTGACCTGCAGGTGATTCTGCCGTCTGAGCCCTGACCACAGGCGTGAGCCAGCCTTCGTGGTCCTCAGCCCTGCGCAGCGCTGGGGTGGCAGCTTCTGCGTGTCAGGCTGCCGTATCCGAGGCATCTCCACTCTTCCCACCCTGCGGCCTGGGGCCAGGCAGGGCTGGCGCGGGCGGCTGTCTAGCCCGGAGCACGTGGGACCCCTGCCACCCATGATGAGTGTGCATTCGGGCAGATGTGTGTGTTCGCTGAGAAGCTGCGTGGTGTCTGCCAGCAGCACTGTGAGGCTGAGGGACACAGTGCAGGCCTAAGGGAGCTGGCGGCGGTAACCGTGGGTGGCATCCGGGTCCCAGTGAGGGTGGGGTGTGTGCTCTCTGTCAGTGGCTGAGGACCTCAGTCCTCCTGCTGCCTGCCTGCATCATGGGCCCCAGGGCTCTGATGACTCTCACATTGGTACCCATGACCCCTTCTAACTTAGTGCGCAGTGTCGCTCTGAGCTGAGGCTACGGTATTGGTGGGCAGGGCCTGGTTCCTGGGCTCTGAGAGCCAGTGTTCCTTCCTTGCTGTCCCTCCACTCCTGTCTTGTATCTGTGGAAGAAAGGGAAACAAGTGCACAACTGATACCTGGGTCTCTAGGTTTCCAGGAAGCAAAGAATCTATTTTGATTTAAAAATGACTGCCCACCTGGGCATTCCTCTAATCTTAGCTCTTTGGGAGGCTGAGGCAGGAGGGTCTCAAGTTTGAGCCCAGCCAGGGTAACATAGCAACACCTCTCAAAATTAAAAAAAAAAAAAAAAAAAAATAAAATAAAATAAAGAGCTGGGGATATAACTCAGTGTGGAGACCCTGGGTTTAGTCTCTAGTACTGCCAAAAAAAAAGGCCTTTGGCGATCTTTCCAGACCAGGAAGGCAGTTTGGGTTGTCACTGCTTGGAGTGTCATCTGTCCGAGTTCTGAGCTGCCCTGGGAGTGTGGAGTGGGCAGTGAGAGTGAAGGCCAGGGGCCACGCATTGTCTTTCTTTCTGTCTTTAACGGGGTTCTTTGATTTCAGCTCTGCTTTAATGTCTCAGCTAGGGAGAAAAACCCATAAGTTGCCGTGTGGCTTCACATGCTACAGGCACTGTAATGCTTTGGGTGTTATGATTTATTTCCTATTATGTGTTGTTGAATTTTACCCTCAGTGTGCTCACGGGAGCCTACAAGACCCCAAAAGCGTCACCCACCACAAGCTCATCCACGCTGCTTCCGAGAGGGTGCTGAGTGACACCAGGACGATCTCAGAGGAGAACGTGAAGGACCGAGGTGAGGCCCGATGGGGAGCTCGGGCCAGGACCAGGTGCTGGGCGGGAGGAGCAGGCTGGGTAGGGCCCTTGCAGTACACGTGCAGTGTCGGGCCCCAAGTTGGCTCTCAGCAGGAAAATTGGATCCACTTTGGTTTTACTTTTCTTTTATTAAAAAAGTACGCATCGTGAAGTATTTGTGAAAAATAGCAGAGATCAGAACTAAGTGAGCAGCACACATCTGAGACACTGAGCTTTATTTTTAATTCTGCCTCAAGAAGAACCCAGACTGCAGAGATTCCGCAGGCTTCATTTTTGGGCTGGAGCCTGCCTCCTGTCTTCCAGCTGAGTAACTGTGGACTTCCTGGGGAGTCCTGGAAGCCAAGGTCCGGGGTGCGCTGCTCACAGCCTCTGCCAGCACCATGGGTGGGAACCAGGCACACCTGGGGTGTTGGCTCTGCAGCCCCAAGAATGAGGCCTTGGGCCAGGCTTTCACTGGTTCTCTGTGTAGCCATCAGGACTGTGACCCTGGAGCCCGTAGTTCAGCCAGGGCCTCGCAGGCCTTGCAGAGATTCCTGGTGTCCCCAGGAAGGGGCCTGGCACCCTGCCTGCCACCTGGGGCTGGGACCATACTGCGCTTAGCAGGCTGCTGTGCTCTCCCCAGATGTCCTCCTGCTGATAAGGAAGCGAGCCCCGGCTCCCCTGCCCAAGATGGCTGAAGTCTCTGCGGAGGAGAAGGTGAGTTCGTGCTGCCCCGGAATGCTGCAGGGGGAGTGCCCTGGTCATGCACCGTCTGCGTGTTCTTGGTCACAGTACGTGTGGCAGGGAGCTGTTCTCTGGCGTAGCTGAGCGCTCACCCTACCTCCGTCTGTGTCCAGTGGGCCCAGCGCAGAAAGCTGAGGTGCTCTGCTGCTGTCCATCCTGGGCAGCCAAAGGGGCTTGGAGAAAGTAGGAGCCTTGCTGAGGAAGCTCAGCCTGGGAGGGGAGCAGCACAGAGTGGGTGGCATGCTTGGCTGCGCTGTGCACCACCATTCCGGAGGCCGCCGTCTGCTTCCTGCGAGACAGAGACAGTGGGGTGTTGATTAATGGTCTGCAGTTTCCCATAACCTGGCTGCTTTGGGGAAGCCGAGAGGAGTGTGTGCCCCCGCAGCTGCATGCATGCCTGTCTCCGCTCGAACACCACACCTGGGGCCTGCGCCCTGGCGCAGAGCAGCTGCCACCATCACGGTTCATTCTGAGGCGCTGGAGTCTCTGCCTGGGCTCTCCCAGTGCTCGGCCGGAGAGAACAGCTCTTGTCGGGGGGTGGGGGGGGTCCATGGCCTGCGGCACTGAGCTATTCTGGGACGGCCGGAGAGAACAGCTCTTGTCGGGGGGTGGGGGGGGTCCATGGCCTGAGGCACTGAGCTATTCTGGGGCTCCCTCTGGCCCTGGATATTTAAGGAGGCCCTGGCTGGCCCCACCACCTTATCTCCAGACACCTGGCTGCAGTGTGGGCGCGGGCCAGCGGGAGCCTGGCCTGCTCCCGAGGACTGTGCTGCGGCTTGGCGGGAACATCGGGGACAGTGGGGCCCTGGCCACCCGCTGGTCCTCCCTCCTTCTGCACCTGTTTGCAGAGCTGACACTGGAAGCTGTTAATTCACAGTTTCATGGCTAATTTTTCTAAGTCAAAAGAATAGATGCGTTCAAAAGGCAAATCCTTTTCATGTGCAGGTACAAATTCGCAATGATGAACGTCATCATATGCTATACCTAAAATGTACCAATCAGCTAATGAATAAAGAAGAGAAATTACAACTCACTCTGATAAGATAAGGCGTCTTTTACACACCGTGTAGTAGAACCAGCAGCCCCCTCACACCTGGGGCGGCTCTGAAGGCGACTCTGTCTCTCTCACCTGGTGTCTGTAGTGGCTCTCTTCTTGCTTCTGCACACAGCGCGGACTGCTGTTCCTCGGTTCTGCTCCCACTGGAATGTCAGTTGAAGATGATTTCAGTGGGCCTGTTATTGTTATTTAAGCGTTGTTTTCTGTCACAAGGGAAGCGTTCTAAGATTATTTAGGAAAGCTGGGTCTGGTGTCGCACTTGCGAGGCTGAGGCAGGAGAATCACAAGTCCTGCTGAGGTTACGTAGCAAGACCTGATTTTTAAAAATAAACCAACACACAAATTATTTTTCTTGTGGTGTTAGGAATTGAACTCAGGGCCTTGGCTGAGCTGCATTCCCAGTTCTTCTTTGTTTTTTATTTTGTTCTTTTTTCATTTTGAGATGGCAAAGTCTGTGAGTTACCCAGCCTGCTCTTGAACTTGTAACCCTTCTGCCCCAGTGCTGGGATTGCAGACCTGTGCCACCACGCCAGCCTGTGATCTTTTGTACAGTTTGATTCTTCTTGGAGTTAGTGACCACCTCTTCATTTTGTTGCTTGCTCCGGTTTGTCGCTGACTTTGTTGTCCTCCACAGAGAACACAGATACTGGTTGAGTGTGTCGGGCTACCTGCGGGCACCTTCCCTCTGTGCTTCTCTGGTCCCGCACAGCCAGGTCCTCTACCTCTCTGTCTTCCGTGTCAGGACTATGTGTCGCTTCCCCTTTCTGCCTAGCAGAGTGTCACAGACCTGTCTCCGCAGGGTCGCGCTGGTCTTGTCATTCACCCACAAGCCCAGGGTCTTGAGTGTTGCAGTCTGGGAATTGGGGTCCTGTTGCTGGCCGGCGACAGGGAGAGGCCACCTCCTGTCCCTTCTGCCGGCTGGGGAGCTGGGCCCTTTCTCTAGCTGCCGTCCAGGGGCAAACTCTCTGCTTCTGGAGGCACTCATGCTCCTTGGGCCTTGGCCCCTCTGTCTTTGCTGCCAGTGGTGGAGTTTCCCAGAGACGAAGCCCCTACCAAAGAAGCCACATCTTTCCAGGGCTCTGATTACGTCAGGGCCACCACTGGTCAGGTGCATTTCTGGGAGCTGCCTGTGCCCAGTGACAGAGCCCAGTTGCAGGGTGGGAGGTGCCTGCCATCTGTCTGTCCTGCTGCTGCAGGATCTTGCTTTGTTCCTTGGGACCTCTGGCTTCTGGGAAGGTAAGTTGGGCAGTGTCAGGCATCGAGTGTACTGCTCTTGGCCCACCCTGCTCCCACGGGACCTTTGGGGTCTGTCATGAGCTCTGGTGCACATCCTGTCCTTCTCTGTGCTGGCTGTGTTGTCGCTGGGAATTCTGGTGTTAGAGTTCAGGAAATTTTGCTCTGGATCTTTGATAACTTCCTCTCCCGTCTTTCTCTTTCTCTCTCTGAGCTCTAAGGGCTTGGCAGGTGCGCCTGCTTCTGGCCACGTGTCCTCCTGCTTTGTTTGCTCTGGACCCCGCCGCTTCTCACTGAGAGTTGGTTGGGGTGCGCTCCTCCTTCCCAGCTCATCCCCTGCTGCTGCCTTGCTCTTTTCTGTTCTTTTCTGGCCTTTGTCATCCCCGATGTGCCCTGCACGCTTGGCTGTGTTGCCTCTTGGTGCTCTGCGCCGTCTGCTGGCTGACCCCATGGATGCGTGTGCTCTGCTCGGGTGTCTGGGTCTCCTGCTGGCTTGGGAAGCGGTTGTTCCCCACTTCCTGGGCTGCAGGTCCTGGCTTTCAGTGAGGGATTCAGTTTCTCCGAGGAGCTGGACGAGTCCCTTGCTGGCCCCCAGAGCTCGAACCACTGTGTGGCCTCTGGTCCTGAGCATGGCTGGGAGGCTGGTGGCCTCATGGGCTCATGTCCTTAGCCTGTGACTCTGTCCATCCTCTGTGCACCTTTTCCTGCTACTGTGTCCCCCTCCTGGTTTTGTGTCTTCTGTGTATTCTCTGGCCATTTCCTGCCCTTGCCTCAGTGTTCTGATTCAGGAGGCTTTGCAGGGCGTATATCAGCCTCTGGGCTTCTCCACCATCTAAGGGGCCTCTGCAGCACCTGGGACTGTGATTGGGCCAGCTTCTCCATCCTCTCTGCATGTGGCTTGCAGCGGGTGGAGTCAGCTCCAAGGCGGAGCACAGAGCTCTGTGGGGTCACAGCTCATGCTTGGAGGAGATGCCATGTGGCCCGTGGGCTCAGTGTCTGTCTGTCCCAGCTCACTGCGGACCCTCCTTTTCTCTGTGCAGAAGAAGCAGGATCAGAAGGCTCCAGACAAGGAGGCCATACACCAGGCGACAGCTGGCCTGCCTGCCTGCAGCACAGACCGGGCTGCAGTGCAGTCCACTATGAGAGATGTGAGTGCCACCCCCGTGTGCTGGGTGGGCTGGGTGGGAGCATGTCTGAGGGCCCCTGCTACCTTGGAAGCTGAGGCAGGAGGATTACTTGAGCCCAGAGGTTCGAGGCCAGCCTGGGCAGCATAGCAAGACCATGTCTTAAAAAAAGAAAAAACAAAACCCCACAAAAAGGTCGGGGAAGGTGGGGAAGGGTATTCAGGAACTCTACTACTTTCATAACATTTTCATAAATCTAGAATTATTTCAAAACAAGAAGTACAAAAGACACCTGAAGGCAGGTCTGGAAGCATAGATATCTCTGGGTGGGCCTGAGTGCTTTGCAGCTGTTCAGCAGATGTTTGAGCTCATGGGTCATGGAAAGCCCTCCTGAGCCAGAGAAGGGGCCCCCTGGGTCATGTGTGGACCAGTGCAGGCTGGCGCACTGGTGTGGGTGGGGCTGGTGGCTGCCTTGGGCTTCACCTGATCCGGTCTGATCCTAGCACTGCTGTGAGCCCTGGGTCATACCGCAGTGCTCTTGGGGTGCTCCAGGGTCCCATGTGGACCAGGACAAGTGGCTCCTCTGCAGCCTGGTGGGCGGCGTGGCTGCTCGTGGTCTCCAGGCCATGCCTGGGGGGAGCTGGGGCAGAGGGGGTCTTGTGGCATTGTGCCAGCTCTTCGTTCGTGCTTCTGCTGCTTCGGGGTGGCCAGCGGGGTCCCCAACTCCACCCCAGCTCAGCGGCCATCACAGCATGGGTGTGTCAGTCACTGCACACAGAGCCTCCTTCTGGTCCTCTGGCGCCTCTTGAGGGACGAGCTGGCCCTTCCCAGCCTCTTGCCCACCGCCTGATGTCCCCGTAGGAGCGCTGTGTGGACTTCCACACGTGGGGCACAAGCCTGGGGCTGCAGGCCACATCACTTTGCTCGACATTCAGAGAAACAGTTTCTCTTTCTTCCGTGCTGCAGTTCCAGACGGAGCTCCGGAAAATCTTGGTGTCTCTCATCGAAGTGGCACAGAAGTTGTTAGCCCTGAACCCCGATGCGGTCGAATTGTTTAAGAAGGCGAATGGTACGAACATAGCCCAGAGGGGCCCCTCATGGCACTGGCGCGGTCTCCGTGTTGTCCAGGTCTGCCTCGCGCTGGGGCCGTGGCCGCTGGCCCTTGGCCCTGTTGCGCAGGTGTCCTGAGCCGCAGGGCATGCCGATGTGTGTGGGCTGAGACGGGGCTGTGTGCAGAGGCGGGGGCTCCTGACTCATCTGTCACCCACAGCTATGCTGGACGAGGACGAGGATGAGCGTGTGGACGAGGCTGCCCTGCGGCAGCTCACAGAGATGGGCTTTCCCGAGAGCAGGGCCTGCAAGGCTCTGCGGCTGAACCAGTACGTTGGGGACACGGGGCTGGGGAGTTGTCTCCGGGATGTGTGGGCCCTCCGGGGAGGCACCTCACAGATGTACTCTGGAAGTGGACAGTTTCTCATCTCAAAGGGAGGATTTTGTTGTTTTGCATGTTTCTAGAGATGGTGTCTCTCTCTATATCATCTGTGCTGATCCTGTACTCTGGGCCCCGGTGGTCCTCTGCCTTGGCCTCCCGAGTAGCTGGGACTGTGGGGTTCACCAGGAGTCTGCAGACCTGCTCCTTGGTTGGGACCGTGCGCTGGCTGGTCATCTGCCGGGGCTCTCTGAGGTCTTCTGAGTTGGTGCTGTAGACACTCAGACTTCCGGACAGTAGGGGTTAAGGGGCTGTGTCCTTCCTGCCAGGGGCCTGTTCGGTTTTTGAAAATGTTTTACAGTGCTGGGGATTGAACCCAGGCCTTCTTGTGTGCTCTGGGCAAATGCTGCACCCTGAACTGCACCCCAGCTCCCGGCGCCCATGAGTTTGGGGCCTTGTGCCTAGAGCAGGGTCTGTGCTGGGCGAGGGCCTTGCGAGTTGAGGTAAAGGCCACATCCGTGGAGCCCTGGAGCCGGCCTGTGGTTGCCAGGTGCCCTCCCTGGGTCACTGGGTGGGAGGGCCCTGCCTGCTGTGGGAGAGCTGGGAAGAGTCTGTTGTCCCTTCCAGCATGTCAGTGCCGCAGGCCATGGAGTGGCTGATCGAGCACGCCGAAGACCCGGCCATTGACACGCCTCTTCCAGGACAGGCCCCGCAAGCTGCTGCGGCCGGTGCTGCGGCTGCCGGCTCCCAGGCTGCTGAGGGAGACGAGGAGCGGGACGAGCTCACAGAGATCTTTAAGAAGATCCGCCGGAAAAGGGAGTTTCGGGCCGACTCACGGGTACGTGTGTGCCAGTGTCCGGAGGGGGCTGGGGCAGACCTGCATTTCTGCTTTTTCGGTCCTCACCTGAGCCAGGGGCCTCATCTCCTGAGTTGTCTCCTGCAAGGACAGTGGGCAGTGAGTGCTGTGCTGTGGCTGAGGGTTAATGGTGGGCAGCGTTGGGGGCAGAGAAGCGGGCACCAGGCCCGAGTGAGAGTGCCGCTGGGGTGCAGGGACAGCTGGCCGGGCATGAGGCCCTTCTTCTCCGCCACCTCTTCTCAATTTCCTGGGCTTGGACTTGGGATCTGGCTTCCCTCGGATCGCGGCTGTGTCCACTCTCCTGTGCCTGCCGTGAGGTGTGGTGTGGGGCCTCTCCTGGCCTCTCCTGTGGGGACCCCATGTGGCCAGGCTGCGGGCACCCAGCCAGGAGGTTTCCAAGCCTGTGCGCAGCCGAGCAAGATGCCCCGCCAGGCTGGGACCCGCAGAATGAGCCACGCAGATTCTGCCTTCCCGCTGCTCACGCTGGCCATGAGCCCATTCCCACTGCAGGCTGGGTATATCCACTTCTGAATGCGCTGCAGGCCCCAGGGGCGCCTCCACTTTCTGGGCAGCTCCCGCCTCCCACCCCGGGTCAGGTTGCTTTGTCAGTTGCGATTTCCTGTCATGTTAGTCCCTCCTTGCATTTGAAAGTCACTGTGTTGCGTTGAGGCAGCTTCCTAGGGCCCAGCAGGGTGTCATCAGCCCCCTTCCTGAGGAGCCAGCTTCCTGCATCATCGCTTTTAGTCTTGGTCCTGCCGGTCCTTGTGGGTTGCTGATGGTCCATCGCTCCTTTTTTTGAGGTGTGGCCCAGGCTGACCTCAAACCCATAATCTTCCTGCCTCAGCCTCTCCAGGAGCTGGGATTACAGTGTGTATCACTATGCCCAGCTTTCGACTCTTTTACTAAGAAACAGGTTTGCACTCTTATTTTGGCGGACTCCTTTTTCTGCTGCCGTCCTCTCCTCTGCCGTCTGTGCTGGAAGAGTCTGCAGAATGCCCTTCATGTGCCAGTCCCCAGGGCCTGAGGGCAGGTGTCATCCCCCTCCTGCCCTCTGGTTTCTTTTCCAGTCCTGAGACATAGCTCAGCCACTGTAAGAAAAGAGCACTGGCCTCCACTGCTGCCTGATGCAAGGGCAGGAGGTGCTGGGCCTGGAGCCTCGTTTCCTGGGCTGAGACAGGCAGAGCCAGGGTGGTTCTTGCAGGTGCTGACTGAGGAGGCCGTCCTGTCCTGCAATTCCAGGCCTCCGTACTCTTTTGCGAGGCCTTTCTTCTGTAGCGTTGCAGCTCCCACGGAGGCCTGAACATGCCCGGTGATCTCACTTTGCTATGCACACCTGGGCCCTGGGCTTAGGGGCAGCACAGACGGATAGGCCCCAGATGGAGCAGGGCGATGCACAGGCTTCCCACGGTCCGCGTCAGGCACCCTGCCTGTTCCTACCCTGCTGAAGTCCTCTGGGCTCTCTGGGCCCTCTGGCCACCTGCTGTCCTGGGGAGAGCTGAGTGGGGCAGGAGAGGGACAGTGGGGTCTGGCCCTCAGAACGTGAGGAGACAGCCTTGGGAAACTGGGAAGCCCTTGCCGTTTCTCACAAAACTGACCTCTCTGAACTGTGTGTTGTAAAAGTTTAGCACGAAGTGAAGGAGATATTATCTTACTATGTGATTTTTGCCCAGAAAATGTATATTCCTTTCCCCTAAAGAGTTGAAGATCAGGTCATCGTTCACCCTGCAAATTAGCAAATGTTCCACTTAGAGCTTGAGTGTTAAATGTTAGATGTTAAAACTAATTTTATTTTTTTAAAGATAAAGTTGGAATAAAGGCACCTTCCTAACAGTGGCATTTTCATCTCCATTTGGCCTGGGTTTTCGTACTTGGCCTTTCTCTGACACTGCTTTAGGAGGTGGTGGTCTGGGCCGGTCAGGTGCCCGTTTGCTGGCACAGATGCGAGTGTGAGGTTGGCCTGTGAGCGCGGGGCAGCTCGGCCACCTCTCCCTGCTCAGGTCCAGCTCGCTCACTGCGGCCCTTGGGGACACTGGGATCTGGGGCAGCTTCAGTGAGCTGGGAGGGGCCTGGGTGGAAAGCGCATGCTGCGGCCTGTGTGTGGCCTTCACTGGCTGTGTTTCTGCCTAGGCTGTCATTTCCCTGATGGAAATGGGCTTTGACGAGAAGGAAGTGATTGATGCCCTCAGAGTGAACAATAACCAGCAGAACGCCGCTGTGAGTTCCCGTGGGGCCCGCCCTCAGCTTGCTGGGTGTGTCTGGGTGTGCTGGTGTCCTGTGCCCCTACGCCGTTCATCACTGCAGCACTTGGGCAAAGACTCGGGTGGCATACAGCTTTGAAAATACCAGTCAGGCTGGGGGTGTGTGCCTGCGTTCCCGGCACTCTGGGAGGCTGAGGCAGGAAGAGCCTAAATTTGAACCCAGCAGGGACAACGTACTCTGGCACACAATGAAAAATAAGGAAGGGCTGGGGATGTAGCTCAGTGCAAAGACCTTGGGCTCAGTCTCTGGTACCCCACCCCATTAAAAATGCTAAGAAAATTCTGCGCCTTGCCAATCCGAAAATGGTGCCTCGTGTGTGCACGCTCTGTTCCTCGTACCCTGATACCGGGTCCCATGTTGCGCACAGGCCACCTACTGATTGGAACCCCTGGTGTAGGTTTGGTGGGCCAGTGGCCTCCTCCTCAGGCAGGGATGAGCCCCGAGTGCCGAGTTGTGTGTCCAGCTCTCCGGCTATGTTGGCTGCAGAGCAGTGCAGTCGTATGGGGCTCCTTTTCGAGAGCAGGCTGGTTGCTGGGGCTGTGCTGATACTGTTCCGTGACCAGGCGCGTGGGGGTGGTCCAGTTCACCTGCAGTGGCAAGTCTGTTAAGACTGCCAGGCCGGTTCTCCCTTCTCTCTCCAGCCTGGCCGGGTGTGCGTGTTGCTGGGAGACAGCTTGTTGTGTTGGGGTCCTTTCCATTCAGAGGAGCCCAGAGGACCTGCTGGGAACTGCAGAATCGGACAGGGGCAGGCGCAGGGCTTGTGTTGGCAGTGTCGCCAGAAGGAGCTAACATCTCTCTCCCCTGTGTTTGGGTTTCAGTGTGAGTGGCTGCTGGGCGACCGGAAACCATCCCCCGAGGAGCTAGACCAGGGCATCGACCCCAACAGCCCTCTCTTCCAGGCCATCCTGGACAACCCAGTGGTGCAGCTGGGTCTGACCAACCCTAAGACGCTGCTAGGTATGTGTGCCTTCCTGACGCCGACGTGGGTGGGGCGCAGGTGCTGCTGAGGTGGCGCTGGGGCCAGGGCAGCTTCCTGCAGGCGCCTGTGTTCGAGTGGACAGGCTCCCACTGGGATCGGGAAGGCCGTGCTGCTGGCTTGTGTAGGAAGCATGTGTCGAGGAGAAGGCTGGCTGTGGCTTTGGCTTATTTGTAAGGGACTTGTCTGGGAATGGTGTATTTTTATTGTTACAGATGTACACAGAGAGATGCATAGCTTTTGTGACTTTAACAAAGTGAGTAGCCGTGTGTGTGCCACTCAGTTTAATGAACAGCACGGCCGGCCCTTGGTGTCCGAGGCAGTTGGCCCCAGGACTCCTTGAGTCGCCTGCTGCTCTGCTCCCTGTGTGAGGTGGTACGGTATTTGCTGACAACTGACATACGTCCTTTCCTGTACCATAAACCATCCTGAAGTACTTACCATGCCCAGTGTGGGGTTATATGTATTATTCAGGGAACAGTAACAAGAGGGAAAAGAAACTGCACGTTTGGTATATGTGTAATTATTTCCCCGAGCATTTTTGTTCTCGATTGGTAGAATATTCCAGTCCTTCTGAGTCTCTGTGAATCCTGAGGCCCCCGTCCTAGGCCCTCTCTTTTCTGTCTTACAGAGTTGGCTGTGTGGATTTGTGTGTCCGCTGCCGGCTGCTGGCTGCCCCTGCCTTGCAGCAGTGGAGTCACTTCTCGGGCGGCATCTGGGGCTCCTGTGCAGTCTTCGGCACTTCACTGTCCAGCAGTTCATTGAGCGAATGTGCCCCAGCACGTCTCTTCTGCTGCCCAGGGGCACCTGGCTGTCCTCCACACGGCTGCTCTGCTGCCTCTGTCCCTCTGTGCCTGTGGTGTGGCTTCTTTCTCAGGGCGGTCCCTGATGCAGGGAGGGCACTTCGTCTGGAGGGCAGAGAGTCTGTGATGTGGCATGGGTGGTCTCAGGCAGGCAGTCAGGAGCAGGACCTTGCTGCAAGAGGAGGGCCTGTGTGCAGCTTTTGGCCTCTTTTCCCGTTGGATCGTTCTTCCTTATTTGTTCAGAAAGCTCTTCTTGTTCTGGACAGTGACTCTGCACCAGTTACTTGTACTGCAAATGCTATTGTTCAGGTTCTTGCTTCTTGCTTCCTTGCTGTGGTAAACAGAAGTCCTGTGTTGTGGTGAACTTGAATGTATCCATTTCATGTCACAAACCTTTGACAGAAAACCTGTGTTGTCTTGAATGAGTGCCTTTCCATTCCGTTTCCTTTCATACTGAGAGCCCACCCTCTCCTTTTTGCTAATGCTGTAAGCCCAGGAGATCAGTGTGTGCTGGCTGGGATTTGTGCAGAGGCCTTTCTGTGGGCACAGAACCATTCCCGTGTGTGCTGGGCCAGCTCACCACCACTGTCTTAGTTTTCTCATTGTTGAGACGAAAGTGCCCACCACCCAATGTTAAAGGAGGAGAGGTTTATCTGGCTCACAGTTTAGAGAGCTTTCATCTTATAGTTGGCTGGCTCCAAGGCAGGGTGGCGAGGCAGAGGGGCATCACAGAGAAACAGTTCATGGTGGGCATAAGGCAGCTAAGTAGCGGAGAAGCAGCAAGCCATAAGAAGTGACAGCAGCAGCACTCTTTCTCTTATATTTTATCCAGGCTACCTGCCCTTGAGGCTGGTAGCACTCGCACCTAGGGTGGCTGTTGGACTCCAGATGATGTGTGTTATGCCTTGGGGATGTAGTTGAGCGGTAGAATACTTGCCTAGCATGCTCAAGGCCCGAGATTTAATCTTTAGCATTGAAAAAAATAAGACAAAAGTCCTTTTTCAAATAAGTACTCACTGTATACTTTCTCATATTTAACTCCGTTTTTCATGGTTTTGCTTGGCTCTTTCATCCTCTGGACTGTATTTTTTTTATACTGGGAATCACACTTAGGACCTAGCAATTGTGGAGCAGGCAGCAGAACCACTGAACTAAATCCCCAGCCCTGTACTGTGTTTTGTATTTGTTGGGAGGCAGTGGGAAGTCGGGCTCCCAGATTGTGCATGGAGCAGTCTTTTTTTATTGATGCCTTCCTGGTTGTCTGGATTCCTTTCTGGGATTGTAAACTGGTGTTCCAAGGATTTTATCAGGCAAGCACCAGGAGACTTTTTTAGGGCCTGGGAGATATCTGAGGTCACGCACAGAACAGAATCCGTGCCCCCCAGCCCTGTGCCCATCAGGGTTGAGTGCACATGGCTGCAGGTCCCCACAGTGCATTTGAGCTCCGAGCTGGGTGTCCAGGGCACTGAACCACAGCTCCAGACTTGGAGCATTCGGGTCGCTCAGTGCTGGAGCCCACGCGGCCCCACCCACCACACAGGTGGTGGGATGAGGAGCTCTGGATGTGGGGCTGTGCTTGGGGCAGCCCTGTCGCTGAGATGGCTGGTGCAGTACGACGCACTGACCCGTGCCCTGCCCACTCCTGCAGTGCGGCCACTCATGGGGCTCTGTGCCAGAAGGCACCTCTGGGGTTTTTCAGAAGTGTTCTTCCATTTTTATTTTCATACATCTTTTTGCAGTGTTGGGGACGGAGCCCAGGGCCTTGTGCCTGCTAGGCAGGTGCTGTGCTGCTGAGCTTGCCCCAGCCATCACATGTCAGTGGTGAGCTTTGAAAATCGCTTTCAGAGGTTAATTGAAGCATTGCCTCTGCGTGTGAGTCTTCTATGTCCAATCATGTTCCTAGGGTGAAGTGGAAGCTGGGGTGTAGGTGGAGACGATTTCCGAGTCCTCGTAGTTGCACCAGATGGCTTTCCGGAGCCCGTGCCATGAGCACAGACAAGCCAGCTGCCCCTGGGTCCGTGGCACAGCCGTCCTTCTTCAGGCCTGCCGCTTGGTCCTTGGGGCAGGCACGGCGAGTTAGTACTGGCTTGAGCTCAGTCCCCCTGTGTGTGGAACATCCAGTCCTGGCCGGAGCTCCGTGGTCCTGCTCCCTGATGCAGAGGCCCCAAGGGGAGTTGGGATGCTGGGCTCAGCTCTGCTGTCTCTGCAGCCTTTGAAGACATGCTGGAGAACCCGCTGAACAGCACGCAGTGGATGAACGACCCAGAGACGGGCCCAGTCATGCTGCAGATCTCCCGCATCTTCCAGACCCTGAACCGCGCCTAGGCAGCACCACCCAACTCTGCTGCTCGGGTGGGTGCAGAGGTGACGTTGCCCAGAAGCCACCTCCAGCTCCTGGCGCCGGTCACCAGCACCACAGCTGCTGTCCCTCCCCGACCTTACTGCTCATAAACTGGTGCGAGGGTAAGGTCGTGCTCCCAGCTTCCGACCAGTTTCCTGGAAGGGCTGCCTGGCTGAGCGGTGACCGGCGCCCTCCAGGTGCTTGCTGGGCTCAGAAGTGTTACTAGAAGCGCCCAGGGGTGAGGGTGGGGGCTGCCGCAGAGCCTGCTTGTCTACGCCAGTGTTACTCAGCGTGCTGCCGGGACAGCAGCCAGTGGCTTCCGTAATAAACCCGCCCTTTCCTATTTTCTGCTGCTGAGCTCCTCAGTGCCTCTGAGCATGTCCCCTCTGGCCCAGGGTGCGCTGCTTCTGCTGCCTCGCTGCCTTGACGCCTCTGTGGCAAATCATGTGGGCTTTCAGGGCTGTGATGTACTCAGAGCTGGCCACGCCTTCACTCCTGGGACTCAACTGCCCTGCCCTGGTCTTCCTTCCCAGGCCCCTTTGGCTCCTTTTCTGCCCTGAGTGTTTTCTTTGTTTAGAAGCGAGCCGAGTCCCACTTCTCATCCACGCTTCCTGCACCCAGCCTCAGCTGTTTCAGTCCCTGCTCTCAGCTCACTGGTCTGACACAGTCCTCCCCATCCTGCGGCAGCCCTGTGGGGTGGCTCCGAGCAGCCTGGGGCCTCCCTCGCCCGCTGCCAGCTTCTGGGTTGGAGAATGTTCCCGGGCAGGGCTGGGTCAGGTGGGAGCGCCTGAGGTGCCAGCCCATGGGTGGGTCCTGGCCGTGTCCCTCGCATCACAGGCATCTCCTGCTGTAGCCGGCGTACGTGGGGAGGGGCAGGGGCCGCACAGAGGAGCTCATGCTGGGCTTGAGATGGCGACTTCTCAAGTGGACGCCGCACCCGTGAGTGGCCCAAGAGTGCGGTTCTACCTGGCTGATGCGGCCCCAGGACGGGCTGTGGTGCTACTGGAGCCGGCAGGGCCCTGGGGAGCCGGAGTGGTGAGCAGAGGCCCACCTGCTGAGGCTTCCCTCAGGCCTCTGGTGCGCTGTGTGCAGAGCACTTCTCTGCTGCCCTGGCTGCTGGGCGCCAGGGCACTGTTACTCATGTGGGCACATGGCCTACAGGAAGCCGCTGCTGGGATCCAGCCTGTGCCTGGCAGGAAGGGGTGAGGTTGCCCTAGGAGGCGGTGAAATGACTGGTAAACCTGGGCTCCACTGGAGCAGTGTGGGGCTGAGGCTGGTGTTGAATTCAGAGCAACTGCTTCTGTTGTCACCATGATCCCCGGAGAGCAAGAATGCCAGCCTGGCCAATCTGGCCTTCAGCATGGTCGCATCCACACTGCCTGGGCCAGGGTGTGGTGCTGCGGCACGAGGCCGATGCCTCTTCGCAGGCGAGGCAGGCTGATGCTGTGGTGTGGCCTCGGCCCCTGCTCATCCTCTCTCCTGGGGCTCGGAGGCTGGTCCTCCCATGCAGGCCGCGAGAAGAGCCCTGTTGGGCCATCTCAGCTGTGGGTGTGAGGGGCCCCAGGCGCACAGTCCTCTTGTGGGTGGTACCTGTGCCGACCCCCGAGTTGCAGGACTGGCTGGCCTTGGTAGCACTAGAAAGGCTGCATGGGAGAACTGGGTGGAGCTGGGGTACAAAGGCCTGAAGGCCCCGGGGGCTGGGACGGGGCGGTGTGGTCCCCGGCCCTCCAGTGGTGAGTTGCAACTCAGCAAGGCCTTGTCTTAAAGCAGGAATATCTAAAAGGTTGGGGATTTAGCTCAGTGGTAGAGCCCTTAGGTTCAATCCCCAGCGCTGGAAAAAAGCGTCAGCCTTGTGCATTTTAGTTTGGATTCTGTATGTTTAGATTTAGCAGAAGTGGTGTACGAGAAATGTGTCATGGAGCGAAAGGAAAGGCTGGGGAGCGGGAACCATGTCCCCCACACCTGGGACCCCACACCGGCTCTACAGGGGTCAGGAGCCAAGCCACTTAGCTTCCCCCAGTAGGAACGGGCCGCTGGCCACCATGACCCATATGCCAGACCCACGTCCCCAGGCTCTGAGAGGGGTGGGGGGGGAGCGCAGGAGGAGGGCATCCTGGAGAGCTCCTGAGGGCCCAGGGCCCTGGGGCAGCTGGGCTGGGCATACGGCATGCGCCTGCCCCACAGGGTCACAATAGTGGCCTGGCCGATGCTGGGTTACCTCGGATGGACCTCAGCCTCCTGTTTTCTCCCAGGTGTTGGTTACCTGAAGACCGGAGGGCCCAGGCTGTGAGTGGGGCCTGGCTGGACAAGCAGAAGTCCCCTAGGAGCGCAGGGCATGATGCTGAAGGGCAGCTGGACTGGGAACCTTTACCAAGGGCCCTGTGACTGTCTTGGGTGGGCATGGGCCCTGGGGCTATGGGCATGGGGAGGCTGAAAGCAAGGTGCGGCCTTATCAGGGCTGGGGCCAGGTGGAGCCTGCAGGGGGGGGTCGTGCTGGGCGGCCCTGTAGCTCACACATCGAGGAGGAAGGCGGGAAGTCGAGTGGGAAGTCCTGATGCCATCCTAAGCCTCCACTCTCTCCTGCCTCCCCTGTCTGGGCGCTCCCCTGGGAGGGACCCCGGCCTCACCCTGGGCCTGGGCCTGGGGGCTTGGCTCCCTGCTTGGTGTTCAGGCTCCGAAGTGCTTGTTCATGCTTTGCTGAGGGCTGGGAGCATGGCAGAGCCACCCAGCTGCAGGAAGGGCACAGAAGGCAGGAGGGCAGCAAGGGCAGGAGAGTCGGGGAGGCCCCTGCAGACAGGCGAGGGGCAGAACCTGAGCGGAGCATGAGGCCCAGGTGCACACACAGGAGACTGGGACTCTGTGCTGGGATGTGGCCAGGAAAGGGACCTGGAGGACAGGGCGCAGGTGTTCTGCCCGTGGCCAGCAGCTCGGTGACTGCCTGCTGCACTCTTCTGGGAGCAGCTCTCAGCAAGGCAGCCGTTGCAGCCCTGGCTGTAGGCCTGTGAGTGGCCCAGCAGCCTGTTTGTTCTGGTGGACACCAGAGAAGCAGTGGTGGCTGTCTCAGACCCCTGCACTCCTGCGTCACAGGGACACCAATTCCCAGCAGCCAGTGGGGCACAGCCTGAGTGTGTGTGGATGGGTAGCAGGTGGCCACATGTGATCCACCTGTACCTGGAGACCATGCAGCCTGGGGGCAGGGAGGAGTGACACATGTGGACCTTGGGGACTCTGTCACAGAAGGCAAGTACTGCCGAACTCCACCCATACGAGGTCCCTGGCGTCAGAATCAGAGACAGGATGTGGAATGGGGATGCCCGGGGTGGGAGGGACATGGGGATTCAGTGTTTGGGGCAGCGGTGGTTTGCCCAGCTGAGCATTCTGGAGGTGGATGTGAATGCATTTAATGCAGTTAGGACTGGAAGCTGGGTGTGGAGGCACACACCTGTAATCCCAGCACTGGGAGGCCGAGGCAGGGGGATCACAAGTTCCAGCCCAGCCTGGGGGACTAAGTGACTTAGTGAAACCCTGTGTCAAAATAAAAATTAAAAAGGGGTGCTGGGGATTTAGCTCAGTGGTCCCGCTGCCTGCCTCATAAGTACAAGGACCAGAGTTCAATCCCTGGTACAAAAAAAATAAAATAAAATAAAATAAAAGGGCTGGGGTTGTACCTCAGTGTGAAGGTCATGGGGTCACTATTCAGTTCCACCAAGAAAAAAAAAAGATCAAGCTCCCCTCTCCAGGGCTGAGGCCACCTGGGCCTGGGTGGTCTGCCAAGCTGCCTTCCATGGCCCTTTGGCCTCAGCGGACTCACTTGGGGCTCGGCCTGGGTGGAGAGCTGGGGTACCGCTGGGACCTTGGTTGCTCCATCCCCTCCACATAGGCCCCTCTGCTTGGCTTCAGAAGCAACAACACATGCGTGAGTTCTGGCCAGAGGGCCCTTCCCGCGCACCTGTCTCCTTAGGAACCAGGCCCAGCCAGTCCACTGCCCTGAGGAGGTGTGGATGTGTCTGCTCTGATGCCAGGCCTAGGTTAGTCTGCAGAATCTATCCTTCTCCGGAGCATTTTGTCTCCAAAATTGAGATCCCAGAGAAGACAGGAGCCAGTCTGCCCAGACTTCGCATCCCAAAGGGAGCTGGGTGTGGCCCGGTTACCCACCCCCAGAAGAGGTGGCACCAGGCCATAGGGACTTTAACCGCCTGCTACCTACCATCCACATTCACACCAAGGTGTCCCTGTCTGCCACAAGGCTGGAAGCCAGGCCGATGTCATGGTCTGGGCTGTGTCGTCCACTACTTGCTGACAGGAAACAGGATGTGGCATCAGGCCCACTCGGTCTGTTGGGCCATGGTGCTGTGTGGGAAGGGATGTTCCAGCTGCAGGAGGCCGGGCAGGCTGAAGACAGCTATGGGCAGTGGGGCATGGGCTGCAGCAGCCACTGAGGGAGCTCTGCACCACGACCACAGTGCTGCAGGCCCCCTGTGCAGGGACGCCTGGGTAGTGTCTCCGGATGCCTGTCCCCACCATTGATGGCAAAGAGCTGGGTGGCAGTGAAGAACGGGAGAAGGGGAGGCGTCCCCAAGACCGAGGGCACTGGAGGATGGCAGCGGCTGTCTGCGGAACCTGGGTCCTGGATGGCACAGGCGTCTCGGCAGATGGCATGGTTTGTGGCTGGTTCAGTGCTCACTTCTACCTGACCAGACCTCATTCTGTGCATCTTATTCCTGTCACAAGGGAGAACTTGAGTCTAAAATTAATTAATTCACTTAAGCTTGAATTAAGTCAGCATTTGCTCCTTGGGAGAGACTGCAGAGCCCTGCTGTGTGTGTCCGGGCCCCCAGGGTGCTGTGGTGCTGGATCTGGGGTGGCCTGGCCCCATGCATACACCTGTCTGCTGCAAAGTCCCCTCCAGTGCCACCATGGCAAGGGCTTCAGATCACCTGGGTGCAGCCAGGCCTGGGGTGGTTTGTCATCACATTTTAAGCTTGTGTGGAAATGGCTCCTTTAGTATTTAAGGATATTAAAAGTATTTTAAAATTTTGGAGTAAAACAGGCACAGGAAGTGCCACATGTCTTAGGCAAACAGCTTGGCTTTTTGTTTGTGCACACCTGTGCTTGTCCCCTTTCCTGCCTGAGAAATGGCCTTATAGGGTCCCAAATTATTCCCTCAGGCCAAGCTGGTGAGGGGTGAAGAGTGAAATTGCTGTCATGATAAAGCCAGTGCCCTGGGGAGGAGTTCTGATCAGCCCAGCCTTCCTTCCTCCAGGAAGGAGATCTGAAAATAAAATGCAAAGCTTTGATCCCACCAATCACAATACAACCTGAACTAGGCTTTAGTCCTGGGGCTGGTTTTACCTTTTAACCTGCAGGTCTTATTTATGCTCACAGAGCCTGAACCTGACAGGCCCTCCCCGGCTGTACCCAGTACCTCCTCTCCCCTGCCTGTGGCACTTGGGTGAGCTGTGCCTGTTTTCTGGCTGTGGCATTACTGGGATGGAACCCAAGGTCTCCTGCATCCTGGGCAGGTGCTGTATCACTGAGTTACATCCCCAGCCTTTGTACTGGGACAGGGTCTCACTGAGTTGACCAAACTGGCTTTGAACTTAGAAACCCCTTGCCTCAGTTGAGTAGTAGCTGGGATTACAGGTGCATGCTACCATGCCAGACATGTACCTGTTTTTGTTTTTGAGATGGAATTCCCAGAGTGATGAGATTCACCCTTTGGTAATGTACAATTTGGGAGTTTTTGGTTCCTTCATACAGGTGTGCAGGTTCTGCCACTGTCATCACCCCCAGTGGGCACCCCATGCCTGTCTGGCAGTTGCTCTCCACCTGCCACCTCCCCGTCTGCTCTGGATTTGCCTGGTCTGAACACTGCATGTGGAAGGGGATCAGGCAGTGGTGTCCCGACTGGCCTTGCATCCACATGGTGTTACGGGCTGGCATTTCCGTCCTTTTCAGGAACTCACTGTAGTCCTTGAGGTTATAGCCCATTGTATGGCTAGACTCACGCACATGCCCTTTTATCCATGAAGTGTGGCTGTGACGCCCCTTGGCTGCTGTTGACCGAGGTTGTTGCCTGGACTGGGCTTGAGCTTTTGAGCTTCCTGCCTCAGCCTCCCTGAGGGCTGGGATTATAGATATGCACAAGCACACCTTTCCCCTAGGGACTTCTGAGATGGGAGGGACGCCAGCTTCCCATTTTGTTAATTGTGCTAAATATACACGAACTTTTTTTGCCACAGCGCCACTTTTGATACCTCCAGTGAGCCAGGGTGTACGCGGGATCCCGGGTGACAAAGCCAGTGAGCAGCTGCCTCCCCAGGGCTGGGTCCGTGGAGGTCCTCATGCCCTAGACACCTTGGGCCTGGCTGGCCTGAGCAGTGCTGACTACCCTGGGAGAACAATGCTCAACACCTTCATGCTGTCCTCATCAAAGACGAGAAGCTGGGCTTGCGTCTTTTGGAGCAGAATATTCCTTTTTGCTGCCCTGGGAAGGGAACCCAGGGCCTTGTGCATACTGAGCAGGGGCCACTCTGCACCTTCTGAGAATGCATGTGGACAGCGCTAGGCTGGGGCCTCCGACCAGCTGTGTCCTGCTCGTTGGTGGCCTGTCACAGCTCAGGCCTCCCAAGGGTATCAAGAACCCATTCCTAGGAGCCTCTGCCAGACTGTATGATCTGCGCTGTGGCCCTGTGCCATCCACCTGGTGCTAGGAACGGCCATCTGTGGGATGAGGCTGAGGCAGGAGGGTGGCCTTAGTCCATGGGGACAGCTTCAGGTTCAGAGTGTCTATGCCACATGGTGACCTCTGACCTCAAGGCAGGCTTCTGTGTGCAGTCATCAGAAGGTCACAGGCGGACCCAGGATCTACTGTATATTAATTAAAGTTTCAAAGTTTATAACTTGGTTCTGTATATCAAAGCCAAAAACCCCTCAGTTCTTTCTAAAATTTTAAATTCAGTAGATGCATTTTAAAAATTTGTAAAATTTATTGTTTTATCATCTTTTTTGGGAATCAGGGATTGAACTCAGGACCTTGTGCTTGCAAAGCAGGCATGGTGCTACTGAGCTAAATCCGCAGACCTTTTTTTTTTAAAGGCAGGGTCTCACTATGTAGCCCAGGCTGGCCTTGAATTTGTGGCAGTCCTCCTGCCTCAGCCTCCTGAGTGCTGGGATTACAGGTATGCACCACCATGCCCAGCTAGCATATGTATTTTTGTTTTATTTTTTGGTACCAGGGATCGAACTCAGGACCTTGCACTTGCAAAGCAGGCAAGAGAACCACTGAGCCAAATTCCTGGCCCCACATAAGTATTTTAAAAGTTGTGGTAAAATATATACAATATAAAATTCAGCATCTTTTTTGTCTTTGAGAGGGGTCTGGCTCTTGCCTAGGCTGTCCTCGAACTTCAAGGACCTCAGGTGGCCTCCTGGGGAGTCTCTACCCTGCTGGTTGGGCCTGGCTGCATCTGAGGTGAGGGGACAGGTCACATGACCCAGCCTGCACAGTCCCAGGGAGGGCCGTGGGTCTGAACACCCTCACGGTCCCCATTTTAACCCAAATGTGTCATGGAAGCCCAACTGAATCCTGAAATCTCTCCGGACCACGACAGGAGGGATCAGAAGAGTAAGCACTACAGTGGGTGTCTGTGAGCATGCGTGCGCACACACTTTATAGCCCCACTGTAGGACGCCAGCGCTGGGCTGCTCCAGGTCGGTAGCAGACCGTCCCTCTACTTTGTGGCCTTCCTCTGGTCTTCTGGTTCTTTATTTTGTGCTCAGAGGTGACCAGAATGGCTGCCCCCGCCCCCAAGGTGGCCTCACCGGGTGCTGCCTGTCGGGCTGGGAGGATAGACTGCCCCTGTGGAGGCAGGCGTGAGGAGAATGTCCTTGAGAGGCTGCACCTTGTGTGTAGTAGCTTCTTGCCTGTTTACATTCCAAGGTCAAAACCCAACTTGAGGGAACCAGAACTAAAAACGTGAAGATGTCACTTCTGCTTTCACGAAGCAGCAACAGCTGCCAAGTTAATAAAGGCTAGGTTTGCCTTTTGTGCTGTCCGGGAACTCTGTGTGATGCTGTGCAACCCCCTGCCCCAGTCCTGGCAGCTCGTGTGTGCCCCCAGCTGCCCGAGCAGTGCCTGTACCCTTGGGCACACATTCCGCTAAGCCTCCACGTGGGCTTCTGTGCTACGGGTGCTCAGAGAATCCCACAAACAAGGGAAAGCAGACTGGGGGGCTGGAAGGGGATTGGGTCTCCTAGAGGTCTACAGAGGCCAGGGCAGAGCCTAGGACCAGAACCGCAGAGAAGAGGGCATTCAGGGAGCCCCCACTGCCACCCTCCCTGGTGGATGCTGGCGGGGTCCACTGTGGGCTGCAGGCTGGTGGGTGGTGGACACTGCTCTGCTTGGTATCAAGGTTCTGCTTCCATCCTGACCGAGGGTTTCAGGGAGTGGCTAGAGGGAGAAGCACCTTCTTCAATCCAAGTCTTCCGGGCTCTGGTGTCGCCCTGAGTCTCAGCAGCAGGCTTGTCCTGCACGGTCAAGGCAGAACCCACCTGCCTGTAGTTCTAGGCTGAAGATGCTGGCTCCCACAGTAAAAGTGAGCAAGATACAGAATGCTAGGCTGAGGATTTCCTAAGGGGATCATGTCTAAAAATGGAAACAAACCAAAACGCGCCCCGAGAGCCCTGTCAATCTCTCCAGCCTGTCAGAAGCCTCTTCCTCCTCTCAGTTCTCTGCTCCTTAAGCCCAGCAGTGACCTCTGGCTGCTGGGTCCTCTACCCATCCCCTCCCCTGCTGGGTCCCTCATCACCACCCACTCACCCTTGCCCATCCCTCCACAGCTCTGCCCTGGATTCTCCGGTGTTCTCAGTGGGGGGACACAGGTTGAGGCACTGGCTTCCTGGCCACTCCCGATGTCTCTCAAGAAGATGGGAATGCTGCTGGCATCATGTTCCACCTCTGCAGCTCAGACAATGTCCTGGGCGTCTATCTGTCCCCTCTGTCCTGCCCTTCAGCCAGCCAAGCTCCCGGCCCCAGCTCACCGTGCTGTCCTGCTGCTCTGGGAAGAAAAGAGCCTGGGTTCCTGCCAGTTCTGTGACACCGATGGCGCTCTTCCCTCCTCTGTCATCAGACTCCCTCCTGCAGTGTCTGGGGAGAACATCTGACATGCTGTCTGTCTCCCCTTGGTTACAACGCCTCTTCTCTGTTCTCCTTTGCAGCAAAACTGGCAGGAATGCAAATACTCATCTTGGGGATTCCGGTCCTCTCCTCACTGTTCCACATAGCTGCTTGTCAGGGATGCTAGGACACCACCAGAGACACACCAAGCTATAGGCGGTGCCCCACTCTTCTGCCCTGGCTTCTCCTACCTGTCTTTAGAATTGCTTTGGACTTAGACAAAATGCACAAATTCCCAGAAAAACACAAACCATGAAACTAGCTCAGGAAGACACAGACAACCTGAATAGGCCTACAGAAAATGAAGAGACTGAATGGGTAATCAAAAGGTAATCCATAAACCCAGATCCAGAAGGCTTCAATGAATTCTACCTAACACTTAAAGAATACCAATCTTTCACAAGCTTCTCAAGAATGAGGGAGGAATATTTCCAACTCATTTTGAGACCAGTAGTAACTTAATACCCCAACCGAAGACAGCACAAGAAAACTGCAGACCCTTATCTGTTACGAACGTAAACATGAAAATTCTCAGCAATGTAGTAAACGGAATCCAAGAACACATAAAAAAGTCGGGTTATCCAGGAAGGCACATTATAGAATGAAAAAGCCACACTTATCAGTAGAGGCAGGTAGAAAGCAGTGGGTGAAATGCAGTTTTTCATGATAAAAGCACTCCGGACTGGGGATGGAAAGGAACTTCTTCACCAGATAGAAGGCAGCTATGAAAACCCACAGTCAACGCCACAGTCAGTAGTGGACTGGATGTCCATCGGAGTCAGGGACAGATAAGGACCCCTGCTCCTGCGCTGCCAGGTAACGCTGTACCGCAGGTTTAGCCAGGGCGGTCAGAAGAAGCCAAAGGCCTGCAGACAGCACAGCTGACGTGACCTTGAGGTTAGCCAATCCTTGGGGCTTCACTGAGAAACTACTGGAAGTCACAAGCAGGTGCTGCAGGGCTGCAGCGAGCCAGACCTAGGTACCTCCCCAGCCTTGGTAATGCCTGCTGCTGGGAGCCAGCAGGCCCGTTCTCCGCGCTTCCTACCTCGCTCGGGAGCCCACGTCCCGGCCCGAAGCTCTGCCAACCCCACCTGCCCCGCGCGTAGCGGCCGTGGGTGTTCAGTCCTGGGTCTCAGGCTCTGCCGCCACCTCGGCTCAAGCCCTCTGGTTCCGCATCCCGGCTCCTCCTGCAGGAAGCGGTGCCCGCCCCTCCCCGGCGTCCTGCCACGCCCTCCTCTTCCTCCTTCCCAGACCCTCGGCTCCAGCGGCTCCGGAGCACCTCAGGGACAGGTCCCCCTCGCACGCCGTCTTCCAAGCAGAGGCTGAAACCTCTGAAGGTTGCTTTCCGGTCAGGTCCTTGGCTGGCGCCCACGAGATCCGAACCCGGCCCCTCCGGCACTGAGACGCTCACTGAGGATCTGCCGGCGCCCGCACCGGGGGAGCGACTGGGTCCCCTAGGGGCCTGCGGCCTGGACGACCGATTCCCAGAGTGGACTTAAGCCGCACCAGCAACGCGCAGACTGCGGGCTCCGCCCAGGTTGCTGGGCGCGCAGAGCCTTGGGAAGGGGCGGGGCCCAGGTGTGCTTACTGCGCCTGCGGAAAGGGGCAGGTCAGTGTGAGCCTGGGGGCGGGGCCCACTGCGCTTGCGTGA